TTCAGTAATAATTCACCAATCCAAGGAACGACCTAAGCTCAGATGTGGGAGCCATGGCACCTTTGATCACCCTCACTTTATCTTCCAAACGATGCAACTCAGTCTTGTCGACTCTGTAGTGCAATTGGTCACTTGGGCTGCCCGGAACACACATTTTTCCCTTCTACGGTGTACGTCTGCTTTGGAGAAATGTCTAAGGGCTACGTCCAAATTCTCTAAGTGCTCTTTCTTGGTCTTCCCTGTTATTAGCCTGTCTATCCCTGTGACTTGGGATAGACCTTGTAAAATGTTCTCCATCATCTGCTGAAAAATGGCACAGACTCACAATACCCCAAACAGCAGTCTCATACATTAGTACAAATCCTTACGGGTATTAATTGTAACATACTTCTGGGAATCCTCAGCAAACCGTATTTGCAGGTATGCGTGGTTCATATCTAGCTTCGTGAAGGACAGCCTGCCACGCCAGCTTTGCGTACAAGTCCTCTATGCGAATGATTGGGTATTTATCCAGCCGCAAGAAGCAGTTTACTTTTTTTTAAAATCGCAACAAAGGTGAATCGACCCATTGGGCTTCACAATTGGTACAACCAGTGTTGCCCATTCCTCAATCTGGACTGGTTTGATGATTCCTTCACTTTCCAGCCTCCTGATTTCTGTCTCTACTTTTGCATGTAAGGCCAATGGCACTGGGTAGGCCATGCAAAATCATGGAATTGCTTCCTGGTCAACATGCAAAGTGGACTTAACTCCTTTGATAGTCACTGGACCTTCCTGAAAAATTTCTGGGTATTTAAATAGGACTTCACTCAGGCAGCCATTTTCTAATGGAAAATGTTGAGGCAATTTAGGTAAATCTTTCTCAAAGAATTTCACCCCATCAGACTTGGGCCTAAACCTTTGACTACAATCAATGGTAACTGAACCAGCTGCTTCTCATACGAGACCGGAACTGAAGCTGTACCCTTAATCTGTGAAGGTTCCCCTATGTACGTTCTCCATCTAGCTGAGTTCTGGTGCAAACCTAAAGGGTGAAATCCAGAACAAATTTTGTGAAAGACTGGTTCTACAATCACTGATATAGCTGCACTAGTACCAAACTCCATTAGAAATGGGTGACCATTTAACCAGATGTTTATTTTGATTGGTTCTGATTTGGATGTTGCTAAGCAATTTAAGTGTTACAAACCAGAGTGTGCACTCTCCTGGTTACCTGCCTATGAATTCTCTTACTCAATTTAGGCCCAGTGGGACTCTTGCTGTCTCAAGTCAGGATACCAGCAACAACCAAAATGGCTTTCCGGCCCGGATCCTCAAGAAAATTTTAACCATTTGGCCAAGGCTTGGCTTTGTTTGGGAGTTTTGCCATGGGTTGACTTAGAGTCCCTCTGTTCAGGGTATTTCCTGAGCGAGGCTATGCAATTGCCTTCACCCAAGTGGTGTTCCCCAAGCTTAGTTGGCCTAGGGAGGCTGTCCACTTCCGTCGGAATACCCTGTCAATCATACGTTCCACTGGCTGCATTTTCTCATGACAAAGCCAGTGTCGTGCCTGTTTGAAGTCCAATTGGGCTTCAGCTGATAGGTGCTTTTGCTTGGCTACATTTTTAATCCCACATACCAAACAGTCTCTTTGCACCTCATTAAGGGTTAAACCAAAGTCACATGCTTCTGCCAGTCGTCTTAAACTCGTCAAAAATTCCAACACAAATTTCTCTTGTTCTCAAACCGATAGCATCTCAGAATTAGAGGAGGCTTAGGATCGTAATATTTCTTAACTAAATCTGTCAACTCTTGAAAGGTTTTAGTATCTGATGCCTCAGGCAAAGTTAGGGTCCTAATAACTGAAAAAGCTATGGGTCCACAAGTTGTCAGGAGAATTACTGATTACTTTTCATCTGCTTCAAAGTCATTTGCCTGGATAAAAAAACACATTCTTGCCACAGAGATAACAAGGTGCAGAGCTGGATGAACACAGCAGGCCAAGCAGCATCAGAGGAGCAGGAAAGCTGATGTTTCGGGCCTAGACCCTTCTTTCTG